CCCCAAAACCCCAAAACCCCTAGTGGCTAAATAAAGCAAATTTTCAGAAGCAAATCTAAACTCATATTATAGCACTATTTTATAAATATTTAACTCAATTTTGAATATCCTTCCATTCTGACTGTCTAAACTAAAAACTCAATAATCACAAATGAGCAAAAGAGGTAGCCACTATGGCAATCATAAACAAGAAGAGGCAGACGAGGATGTAGATATCGACGAACTACTAAGTGACTGTGGAGATGACGATGATGATGATGAGGATGGCAATAATTAGAAATATGTGGGTGAGTAAAGCCAAAGAGGCAGCAACTACTTATCAAATGCAATATCTTATTCGCAGTACACTCAAGCTCATCATTATTAAGAATAAGATCACAGAGAAAATATCGGTTCAAAAGATGACAATGACACTGAGATGAATGATGACGACTCAACTGAAAATGTGATGGACTCGACTTCAACTACAAACAGAGATGAAACTTTTGGCACTCACTCACAAGAAGGAAGTTCATCTGATACTAGTTCTCAGCAGCAATAGTCATAGCATCATCAATAAGTATTCCGAATAAATCAATAGTAGCATTATACAAACAATTAACACTTTAACAATGGCTATAACTAGGATCTAGGCAATGACAACGTCTAGTAGCAATAGTTTCAATAGCTTATACCTACATATCCAGGTGTAAATGGAGTGCCTAGTGGCAGACTCTCTTTCTTTAGAAAGAAGAAGAAAAAGAACCCCTACGATGAAGCCTCAATAGCCACTCTAAATCCTGAATGGTTCATCAATTTCACTCATTTCCCACTTGAGGTTCAAGGTATGGAGGAAGCTCTAGAAAAGTACAACGAGCTGGGACTCGGCTGCAGAATCCAATTTAAGCGAGGCAACTGCCGCAAGGACTTAAATGGCTTCACACTTCAGTTCACTATCAGATGCTTCAGAGGTGCTGGTGGCAAGTAAAAGATAAACTAGGGTATTACACTGAAGAATCATCAGCTCACAGACTGTCCAGTCTAAGCTAAGTTCAAGTGGGTTCAAGACAGAATGGGCTATCTGAGATCTAGGACGATAAGAATGCATCATAATCATCCCATTGACATTAGAGAC